CTCATTTCTGGGGGGGGGCGGTTTGCTTCTGGAGCCTGTGCAGCTCACCTTCTCTGCCCTAGGAGCTTGGGATGGCGGTGGGGGAGCTTCCTTCCAGGTGCTTGACCAGCTGAGCTTCTCTGCCCTAGGAGCTTGGGATGGTGGTGGGGGAGCTTCCTTCCAGGTGCTGAGAGCAGCTCACCTTCTTAAGTTTTTAAAACCAACACTTTTTAATGGAAACAACTTGACCAACAATCTGTCACAGAATTTTGAGACCCATTATAAGAAAGTTTAATGAAGAAAAAAAGGGCGAAGGAGAGGTGGCTTGAGGAAGGAGCTCAGTGTAAAGAAAGGACCTAGGTAGGTTCAGTCCCCAACACCTAAAGCCCTCCTATATTCTGTACTCTTTCTCAGGAAGTTATTGGATTGTTTTTTAGTACCAGACATTGAACTCAGGTCCTTGTACTTTCGAGGCAGGTGTGGTGTTAACTGAGCTAAATCCTTGGCCCTCTCAGGAAGTTATTGGAATTACTATGTATTCTCCCAGAAAAAGGATGAAAATTTATTAAAGCAAGAAGATGAGAGATCTGAAACACAGCAGTTCCAACAGAAGAAAGGCAAAGAAAATTCTCAAGACTTAGAAGATTCTGAGCTGGTGCTTCTCACTGGTCAAGAGAGTAGTCAGTGCAGAGAGAACAGAATAACAAGGAGGGTGGCCTCTTTGGGGGGACTTTGACAAACAAAACTGGGGCTGGGAGCGTAGCTCAGTGGTAGAGCATGTGCCCAGCACATGCAAGGTCTGGGTTTGGTCCCCCACAGTATATTTGAACACAATGAGAAGGAATATGTGTTTCTGCAGAATAGAGATAAATGAGTGATATGTACAGAGAAAACTAGGCAAATGAAAACACATAAGGCAATATTCAATCTGGAACAGACTAGAAGTTATTAAAAGAGAAAATGGAAATGTAATCTTAGTATGGAACATAGAGCAATATGGTAAATTATATGTACAATCATAAGGGAAATGCTGAATATTAATTTAAACAAGTTAGGGGCCAGGGATTTAGCTCAGTGGTTTCGCGGCCTGCTGCACAAGTGCAAGGTCCTGAGTTCGATCTCTAGTACCAAAAAATAAAAAAATAAAAAAATAATTTAACCAAGTTAGGGTTTAACTGTATTATGGGGGTGTGAGTGTGCTAGTGGTAGTGGAACAGCATTAAGCCCTCACCTTTCTTGTAAGAAGTTAATGTTAATTTCAAAAGACATAAAAACAGCAGCCTAAGGACATTTCTTTTTGTTGTTTTTGTTTTTTTGAGACAGGGTCTCTCTATGCAGTCCAGGCTGGCCTTGAACTCAGTATGTAGCCCAGGTTGGCCTTGAATTTGTGGTGATCCTCGTTTCTTGCTGGGCCTAGGGAGATTATTGAGAATTGTAGCCCTTAACAGCAAATCACATAGCTACAGATGGAAAATGATTCCTTTTCCAGAGCAGGAACGCATGTGGAGGCCTACTGACTTCATTCATTGTAAGTTGTAAACAACTATTTGACTATTTGCTGGGTGTGGTGGTGCATGCCTATAATCCCAGAATTTGGGAGGCTGAGGCAGGAGGATTGCCACAAGTCAACAGTTCAAGGTCAGCCTGGGATACACAGGGAGAATCTGTCTCAAAAAAACCTATGGAATTGAAAAAATATTAAGTTCAAGACAGGCAGTAGTTGTTTTACATGAAAATCATACAATTACCTAACAGATCTTTGTTCATCTGTCTGTCAAAGAGGTGCAGTCTCCAGACATTTAGTCTCGTATTCAAATGGCCTCACAACTGTCCTCCTAATCTTACCCTCTAACCATAGGCCTACTAATTCCATACCTGGAAGCTGTAATTATATGAAAGTGAACTATGAATGGGTTTACATTGCCCACTTCTAGTGAGACAATCTCCTTTTATTATTGTACTTCCAAACCTCATGGGTCCCTTACCTTTGACGAATGCCACCTCCTCTGTGAAGCCTGCACTATAAGTAACCTCAACATTTCAAACCTCTACACTCTCTGATACCACATCTTTCTAAATCTTTGTATTTTTAATTTTTTTGGGGGAAGGGGCAGTATCTTACTATGTTACCCAGGCTGGTCTTGAACTTGCAACACTCCTGTCTCAGTCCCCTGAGTAGCTGGAATTACGGGCCTGTGTCACAATGCTTAGGTTTCTCTGGCTTTAGTGACCATTATGTACATGTGTTACCTTACATACTATAGTAAGTATGTGTGTGTGTGTGTGTGTGTGTGTGTGTGTGTATATATATATATATTTTTTTTTTTTTTTTTGGTACCAGGGATCGAACTCGGGTCCTTGCACTTGCGTAGCAGATGGCGAAACCACTGAGCTAAATCCCCAGCCCTATAGTAAGTATATTAAAGGTGGGCTTGTGTCTGGTTCATCTTTTTATCTTCAGAAACAAACTATGAATAAGAGACATTGAGTATGTTGGCTTGAGCAAAAGCCTTCCACTTGTCCCTTAGGCCCTCCCCTCACCCTTACCGAGATCCTTTGGAAATACATTGACTTCTCAGAGCCATCGCTGCCAGCTCCCACATCCTCAACATGACACCTGCCTAATTTTGCTGCTAGCACTGGCCTTGTTGCTGCCATTGTTTTATCATGGTAAACACCTCCCTCCTCAAGTGCATTTGCTGTACTCTCTGTCCAAAACAGCAAATCTTGTCTCCTAGCCTCGTCCATACCCTCTCCAACCACTCTCCAACCTCCCTGGTGCTGTCTGCCTTGAAATCTGCTTTACTTGAGGGCCAGCCCTGAGTCCAAGAGTGCCCAGTTTGGAAAGCTGGTTTATGATTTGGGGCAATTAACCTTTTCTGCCTCACCAGTAAAATAGAGGTAACAATTATACATAATTATTGCTCACAACCCTGCCTATTTGGCATATGGTAAGGGTTCAATAATCAATGCTTTTCTTCCTAATGCTTACCACACCTGACATTTTATTACATATACATAGTCTGGGTTCTCCGCTGGGAAGTAAGCTAAGGTGGGACTTTGTTGTTTTTTTTATATAAATTTTATTTTATCCCATTCCCTCCATAAACCCCCTCCCCTCTCCCTATGTACAAAAGCTTTGTTTCCATTTTTTTCTTCCTATTTTCACTTTTCTTGTCACTTCTTTTCTTTCTCCCTCCCTCCTCCCTTGGTCCCCTTCCCATTTGAACACTTTATTCCCATTTCCCAATATCCATTATACATCTCAGTCCTTATTTTCAGTTTCTCACACTAGAGAAGCAATATGGTGTTTAAGCGTGTGTGTCCAATTTATTTCACTTAAGAGTATGGTCTCAAGGTCCATGCATTTAGCTATAAATGTCTGAAGGGACTTTGTTTTATTGATAACTTTATCCTTGGCTCCTTGGGCAGTGTCTTTGGTATAAAGACTTTCAACAAATATTTGTCCAGTGTGATCAAGTGTGATTGAATTTATTTTTGCTTTGGTTTTTTTTTTTTTTTTTTGACACTAGGATGGAACTTGGGACCTTGCGCTTTCGAGGCAGGCGGTGGAAGCACTGAGCTAAATCCCTGGCCCTGAATTTATTGACAATTTTTTTTTTTTTGGTACTGGGGATGGAACTCGGGTCCTTGTGCTTGTGAGGTAGGCAGTGGAAGCACTGAGCTAAATTCCTGGCCTCTGTTGGATGTTTTAAAAGTCATAAATATTGAATTGTATTATTTATTTATTTATTTATTTATTTATTTATTTATTGGTACCAGAGATTGATCTCAGGACCTTGCACTTGCAAGGCAAGTGGTGGCACCTGAATTGCATTATTTTTAAAACACCCTTACCATAATTGTGTATTGAAAAAAATCTATGTATTGCAATTTGTTGCTGGGGGAAACTTTCTTGGCCTTTAAATTTAAGTGGTAAACAGTCATACAATGGAATAAGACCTAGTTGACTACATTGCATCTAGTTGACTACATCGACTGGCTAAAGTAGAGTTAACATATGATAGTACTTGGGTACCAGGGAAAAAAAATGCATGAGATGATCATGTAAAATGCTAATACAATGCCTAGCACAAAGTAGCTCCTAAATAAATTATGACAAGCAAACCAACATAATCCAAAAAGCCTAAACAAGAAAATGCAATAATGTAGAAGATAGTTAGAAATATGTAACAATTGTATACCTGTGTGATCACCACCCTAAATTATGAAACATTTCTGTTACTCCAAAAAGCCCCCTGCGCCCCCCCCCCC